TTTTTAAAATAATTTCACTGCTTGTGATTGTCGGAGCTATTATCATTGTTTATTATTATTTGTTTAATACATATTTCTTTGGATCTTACAATATCCGTGAAGCATATTTATACTCAGTCGAGAGCACTCAGTGACGTCAGAAAGGTCTCGTTAATGTAACGAAAGTAATTCGAAAGTGATAACGAAAGGGAACAGGAGTATGATCACGTCATGTTGCCCTGGTGTTTCAGATATCGGCGCAGGAGTCCCGACGGAAGAAGAAGGAATACATGGACGGTCTGGAGAGACGCGTGACGATGCTGGCGAATGAGAATTCCTCGTACAGGGACCGGCTAACGACCTTGGAGGACACGAATCGCGAACTACTGAAGGAACTTCAGCGTTTGCAAGCTCTCCTTCAACTGCAAGGCTCGTAGAGAGTCGTTGAACGTTCCTCTCGTCGAGTCGAGGAGCTTGTAACTGCTATCAGCAAGTGACCGGTTTCGTTAGAGACTCACTGGTCCCTGATCAGAAGGCTGTTGCTTATCTTATTTGCAGTTCTCTTCGACCAGAGAGAGAGAGAGAGAGAGAACTGCTTGTTGTCGGTGGAATTCATCATTAAGCGTCGGATGGATCGTCGCCAATTTCCAGATTTGGTCCATTTCCCAAGCGAACGGTGCAATTTCCTTTCTACATTCCTGCGCAGAAGTCTTCCCCGTGCGACGGATCTGATAATCAGAGTGGAAATACGTACACACCTTGTCTTCCTGTCCAGGATCGGTGGAGGGTGCAATTCAGCCGGCAGTGCCTTAATTTCCTAATTTCCATCCTTCTTACGTCGACGAAGGATCATAAAAGAAAGAGATACAAAGGATCAGATCTCCATCTATTTCGACTGTATTTTAATTTATTACACAAGGAGCTCTTAACGAGCGTTTGGTATTGGTTGTTGCAACAAACTGCGTTCTCGAGGATTCTCCTTTCCTTTTTCCTCTCGTTGTCTTCATCTTGCGGCAAAGGGAAAAACTGTTGAAAATGTCCAAGCTAGATTTCTTTCAATTACTCTCAACCCTTCCTCAACCATATAAAAAATAAAAAATCCAATTGAAAACCAAGGAATTTTGCTTGGACCGCCAACGACAGAGGTATTGAAGAGCGTGAGTGCTTGATTTTTCTGTTTACTTGAAAGCCCTCGATGAGAAAGATGTGAATGAAAGGGAAACGAAGGATAGCTGATTGAAGCAAAGTCGTGTTAACTAAATACACAGTGTGTCACAGATAACACAGAGTAGTTATAATTAGCAGACGCGTAATCATATGGGGAGGCGAGAGATATTTTATATCGAGGGATTCGCCTATTTCCTAGCGAGGAAGTTTGTTAAATTAATATATACGTACATTTAGGGATTCATTTGTAGGTTAGGATCGTCGATTCGCAGATTTCTATATCGTACGAACGAAACGTTTACAAATGTTGTTTGCTTACGTTCGATTGTGCTTTCGAAAAAAAAAAGAGAGAAATCACTTGGAAGAAGAAAGAAACTCTGTTCTCTTCGAAGAAAGAAACGACTGAAGAGTCTCGCGAAGAGTTGAAGAACCCGAGCTTCTCTTCATTTTCACAGACCTTGTTAACTCTTTAACATTCTTCAACGACTGCCTTTTCCATACTACTATCGAGTAGATTGTCTTTTCAATCGACACTTGACTTGATTCCGATGATTTCTCAAACTGGAATCAGAGCGAATCTTCATTGGTTGTCTTCG